ACGGCCTTTCGTGGAAACGGGTGAGGGTACCTCTGGGGCTGGCGAAAGAGAAAATAAAACTAGGAATCAGACGGTGCGGCACATCGCCGAGGAAAAACAGGGTGACGGGGAGAGGAAGAGTGCGACAGGTAGGCGGATTCCCGCAGGAACAACCGGAGATGTAAATCAATGGGTGATAAGGGCGGCTGTCCCCTAGGAGGGGGAAAGTCGCCCCTGCATCCTACACAATTCGAAAAGAGAACGGAGAGGTGGCTGGCTTCATACCAGGGAAAGGTGGATCCTTGCTCCACGGAAATGCCTCGTTCGGGAATTATTTATTCGCCGACTTTAGACGAAAATTTTCGCTCTCTTAAGTGGCTCCGTTTCACCATTCTTCTTTTAACCGCCCCATTCGTAAACTCTTGGCTCCCTTTCTTTTGCCACCAATTCTGTCGTGCCGTATCTTAAGATGAACGCGCGACCCAATTTTCAACTTTGTTTCGTATCTACTTATGAAGTAGAACAGAGTTTTTATGATAATACGCGTGTATGATCTTTAAAAGGAAAAGAAACCAATTATATGCATCAATCAAGTAGCAGTTTCAGTATATTTCATATCAGTTAATCAAGTTATCAAATGCAAACTCTATTTTGACGCAATGTACACTACGTTCGCAGATTGTTGTTGCAGAGTGTAAACCATTTGTCCTTCGAACGTGATCAGGACGGGTAGCAAATCATGGTTGATTGCTTCGGAGATCTCTCTCTCGATTTCGATGAGACGACGTACGATTCCCGTTTGTGGAATGTAACGTTTAACAGTCGCGAGATAGCGTGGCGGTTAGATAAAACGCAAAACATTGCCACGCTTGGTGACACGTAATTACTAGCAGTACACCTGCAAATCGTCGTGACACAGTGTTGCGGATTTACAGTAGCCTCTCGTTTTTTTCTTCAGTCTGTTTTTTCTCATCCTGCTTTGTTTCCCCGCTGTGTTGGCGCCCGCCACTTACGGAGACGTTCTAACTTTTCTGCTCTTTCTTCACTTTTTCTCCCATTATCTCCTAGATAGTTTCTGAAAAGCGTGAAATGGGGTGCGTCACAAACGTTTGAATCATTGTTTCTCCCCTCGCCATTCAATTAAGGCAAAGATTATCGGTCTTTCGGAAGTTACTCTCGCGTCTCCACCCACGTAGAGAGCGAGCTTTTGCGTGATATATGCTGCAGTTATATACGTGGAAATCGAGCCACGTGGGTCGACGTGTCGTTTGTAACCTTAATGTCTGCGAATCGTAATAACGACCTTTGAAATGTTGAGAGCTCTTCTTTTCTCAATTACCTTCGCCGTCTATGAAACGGATAGATGCGCACTAGAAATGCTTTATCAGTAAACAAATCGAAGTTAATAAAGTCTACTTTCCGAAATGCTGATATAACACATAAGAATATATATAATTATTTCTTTATCAAGATCTATAGTTTTGATTTTTATATAAAATTATAATTTATATATAGACACATCGCTTAAACATTCTTTGCTTTTGAATACAGATTATTTAGCTTGAAACTTTTTGGTTAAGTCATCGGTTAATGGAATTTTCTGCTTATTGAAATGCCTAGTCGTACGTTAATTTCTACTCCCGCACAATTCCATTGAAACAGCATTGGTGCATCTCGTCGCGACCATACGATCAATCGTTGCCACGAATTATTCAATGTTATCGTTATCATAAATCCGCCGGTGTCCTGTTCACGCTCGCGTTCTGCAACCACCAGAATGATCCTGATAAATTATCTTGCCGGGAGGGGAGGATGCACCAGCACTGCTGACGGCTGCGGGAGACGTAGGTGCGTTGAAATTTTTGTGCGCATGACAGATATACTTACATATTTGATTTGCGTTTTTCCAATACAATATTATTTTCAATATTTGCATGATATAATTTGGCGTATAGATTAGTTGTTCTTTTTAGTATTTGCATTATACCAGAGATATTTGGATAATAACGACGTTATTTATATTGCAAAAATATTACAATAATTTTATTTCAAATGTTTGAAAAAAACATGTTTTTTTTATTTTCAAAGTTGTAATACAGAAAGTTGAGAAAAATAAAATAATTTTTATTGTGAACACACGTCAGTAATAAAGATTATGATATAGCGAATAAAAAGACGACACATTTCGCGGCTAATATTTTGTTTGCGCAGATCGTTAATATATTTTTTAAATATTTACTAATTTAAATTTATTATGTTGTTTAATACACAAGTAAGGAATAACTTATAATATACCGCAATTTATACAATTAATATTTCAATTAACTCAAATCGAATAACTCTATTTATATATAAAAGCGTCCGAGACATTAATTAAGCTTCTCATTGTTTTGTCACTCATAATTTATCTATTATTGCGTGTATCAGGGTTAATACATGTAAACGTGCGCAATAATCCAATTTACATGTCACAGCTACTTAGTATATGAATATATGCAATTAACGTGTTATTTGATGTCATTTAATTATTTTCATATATGTAGATATTCAATTCATCGTTAATCAATATTACATTGTTGTAATATAACTTTTTTTTATTTAATTAATGGAAGGTAATTTGCAAAATGTAATCTGACTTCATATTTCGATATTATGAGAGATTTAATAGAAAACATAAGCGCGAGGAAACGTATTCGTAACGCGCGTTCAATAATTTAACATTTTAAACGCGAAAATTATCCGAGAAGAATATACGATTTCATATTTTGTTTCTTCCCGAATGTTTCTTGAAGGAGAAATAGGTCGCTCGCTGTTGTTGCATTTACTATATAGGAGATACCCCTATGTACGATATAATGCAAGTATCAACCACAAGGCCATAACGCTCGGCATAAAATACATATGTCTACGGAAGATACGATTTTGTGGACTCAGCCTTCACGAGAGGAATTCGTTTTGTTGCATGCTAGCCTCCATCCGGTCTTGACGTACCTTTTCTACCTAGACGCTGTGACTATCATTTATCTTAGATTACAACGTTGCTCCGTCATACAAAACGATATTCATAGTGCAATCTTACATTCAAGATTAACTTAAATGCTATATAGATTTATATTAGATATATAGTTGTGAAGAAAGATAATGTTAGCAAATATTAGAATCATTTTTATGACCGTATACAATTGATAAACAATAAACTAACATGAAGAAGGAAACCGCAGTGATTAACGGTCAAAGTCATTTTACGGTTGAAGCGTTGAATCACAAATGCTTATTAAAATTATGTGTGAATTTTATATGCCGCGTATGTAGTTCCCCTATCGCGTGCCGAAAATTTTTTAAGACTTTACAACGCAACTCTAAACAACTACCGCAGTAATATCACTTTTTAGTTAAATTGCTAAAGCAAATCTAACAATTATATTTGATGCTTATATAGCATCTTATTAGATCTTTAATAATATGTTGAAAGACATATTAAAATTTAACGATGTAAATGTTAAACTTTAAAGTAATGATGAATTTTAAATCTGTGAAAAATAAGATTGCGAAGAATATCACGAGTTGGCGTTTCGTCCCGGTTTCCACTACTGGACTCATCAGTAAGATATTGTAATGGAAACCTACCTTAGACGCCTGTTTATGATAATGTTAGTCTTAAGTCTTAAATATGAATTTTTCTAATACAGCATTTCAATCACTTAAGATGAACTAAAATATAAGACGAGGGTATCGTATACATATTGTTCACAGTAGTAGTAGAAGACATTGTTTTATCTTCTGCAAAATTACAATGGATTTCACTCTTTCTCGTAATACAAATTCAAATACACATCTAACAAATATAATCATACAAATAAATAAACATACAGAAATACATATAAAAATTTTTATTTAATTTTTTATTTATTTAAATATTTACATACACACATAAACGCGCTTGCATCGTTTTTTATATAATGTACCATAATTAAAAATTAGGATTAGATTTTTTCTATTTATTTCATTAAATGGTTTATTGACTCGATAATAATTTTTGTATTGCTCATTTATTTTAATTCTGAAAGATCGACTTCTCTTTTTTCTTCTTCTTCTCTCTTTTAATTCTTCTTTCCATGAATAATCTTCTTTTTTATTTCTATATTTACAGTATAATATTTAAAAAGGACAAATTATAATATTTTAAATGTCGTAGTAAATGACCTCAATCCGCGCGTATGTAACATGAAATAGCATTAGGAAAGTTTTGTAATGTCAGCATACGTGCACTGAAATGCGGAAATGAATTAAAAAATTCACTCGTTTATGGTTTGAACGGAAGTGAAAAGTTTGTTTGTTGGAGTTCCTTCGAGACAAAGTAGGTCTAGAAAAAAGCAATGGCATGCTACGTGAGATTCGTAAGTAACATTTAAAATGTTCGACTGAATGAGTGACCGAGTGAGGCAACTTTTATCGGATAACAACAGACTGAGGAATTTTTCAAAGCTGTTTCCATTACGTGTAGCACCTCGCGGAGATTGGTCTGCATCTTTTACAATCGGCTCGTGAATATTTGAAGTTTTACAGCAGCATACAGTCGAATATGTTTGAAGCGTGAAAGTTTTGAATAGAGGTCATAGGTCCGAGACGTTCAAATGAGATAAGAAAAATCGGAGTTAAAAGCAATTCTTTATTCGTTCAATGCTTTGATTAGGATGAAACGCGATAATTTTCTCGGGTTTTTTAAAATGATATCATGTGATCTTTTATTCTATTTTTATAAATAATTAGATTGCACATATATATATAAAGTAAAACCGAAGTTATCAATTAATACAATAATATTAATTTTGGTTAATCTGCAAACAACTTTCCTCAATTTCGTGAATTGAGGGAAGTCCGTTAATTCTAAAACCCATTAAGTAAAGCTGAATTTTAATAATCCACATGCATACTATTGCGATGAAGGAATTAATTTTCTCAGAATAATAATAATGATAGTACCTAAATCTATTAAAATAATATTTGAAATTTTTTTTTAGTGGTTCTTCCTTCTTTTCTTGCACCTCGACATTGTCTGATAATTCATTTTCAATATTGTTTTCTAGTTCCCTTTTTCCTGTTTATAATATATATGTAAGATAAAAGGACGTCCTTGATAGAGAAATAGAAAAAGTAACAAGAGGTAGAGTAATTAAAACTTACTTTGTCTGATAGTTTTTTTAGCATTTTCCATAATTATGACGTTTCTGTAAATGATAAAAATTTTTAATATTTTAACGGTGTACTTTTTATTACAAGAGAGATAAAATGTAATGGTGGAAAATCAAAATTTTTAAGTACTTAATTAATGATAACGAAATGATGAAAGTGAATTTTTACTTATATGTAGACGCATAATTATTTTATATATTTCTCTGTAATTCGTATATTTATTTATCTTTACGTTGCGGATTTGTCGTTAAATATTTGATTTATTTACCTGATTCTAATGCGGATAACGTGGAATTGCAGTGGTCACAAATTTTACAATGTACGATACGAGCGCATATATAACAGTACGATGAAAGATCGATGGTAACCGAACAATATGAAACGTATAAAAATTAAACGAATAGAATTTTTTGGCAACTGTGGGAGGAATTTTTTTTATAACAATCTGCAACTTCGACCCGTAAAAGAGCGTTTGAAATGATCCGATACCAAATGGTGACTACGAAATAGCGGACAGTGCATATGCGATTCTTTTCATTTAACGATAGCCTTAAAATTCGTACGAGTTGTTTTGTGGACGTACACATATGCACACACATATATGTATGTGCGTGCGAATTTTCCAGTAGCGTTTACCACGAACACAATCGGTATGAAATGACAACGTAAAGCACGTAGCGCAGTTGTTAAGCACTACTTTATGTTCGGAAGATAGTGCCGAGCATCGTAATATCGCTATTTCGCGTTAGCCGAGCTTACGTGTTCCGTAAAGGACGGTCGTATAAGACATCGACGTAATCGAAGTACTTTCTGGAGAGGACAAAAGTGATATGCGAGCTTTCCAGTCGCGAGTAAATTCGGTCTTTAATTAATATTAAAAAATTGTACAGAGAAAACGTTAAAGGAATTTTATGTATAGGAATTAATTTTATAATAACGTAAAGAAAGAACAATTAAAACGGAGGAGGATGTATAGGTTCGTGAATTTATTATCTCTCGTCACAGTAAATTCTAATAAGTCTACATTTCTAGTTTTTCAATATATTATATTACATACTTTTTTTCCTCTTCCAAAGACGCAAATTTTTAAGTGGATATACTGTGTTACGTTAAAACAAAAATACGAACTTATGGAAGACAAAGTTTTATGCAGATTTTAGAAACTAAAATATATATTATTTATTTAGTGTACTAATTTTACAAACTGAAATATACGTAGGTGGGAGATAATATATAGCGAATTAGTGAAATCTGTTTTCCTAATTATAACTTTTGTTCGAAAAAGCAGACAGTTGAGAACTGATTCACAATCAACGGAGCGCTACGAAACATTTCGAAACGCACGACAAAACACTGACTTACTGAATGAAAATTAGAATAGCTCTTTAACGTTTGTAAAGAGACGGCGGGAGCTCGTGGAGTAGCTCAGGAATTACGTTTTCGCATTATGATTTCTACTGAGAAACAATGGTCAGTATACACTTGAGATCACTGCACCGTCGTCATGGAGAATTGTACTTGCGATAGTTTACCGGATTTCAAAGGTGAATTGGATCTTGAATTTTTCACAAACGCCATATCGTTCAAATGGACGTTTAATAGGAAGAAACCGTCTCTCTGAGTCCATATAATTTTCTTTTCTTTTTATACAGATATTTTTTATATACACAGTGGAATAAAACATTTGTCGAGTATTCCTTTTTGATACGCTTGCTTTTTGCGAACGCGTATGCCGGAATTACTGGAATATCGAACGTATCAGTTAACTCGTTCAATATTGATCATCTATATTTATTCCGTTTTGTCACGTTATGTTATAAATTATGCTGGGATAACAGAGTTTTTCCATGATGCAGTATCACCGAATATCAAATATTTTGCGAACATGAAACGTATTTCGTTTCGCATGTAAACTCATAATAGCTTGGCAGGGCCACCGCCCGATCATACACAAAGTGACTATTTCCAGTTTATCTGCCATGTTCAAAGCGAGCACATGCAGAAATGGTCTTTAATTTCAACGCATACTTAGCATGTGCCATCGTTGAAATATGTTCATTAACTTTGAAAACTTCTCTCATATTGCATCGTCGACGTGACTGCTACAAAGAGGATTTCAAAAGTTAAAACAGTTTCTGCAATACAATCTTTGTTCTTAATATTTGTTGCATGTTTACCGTACATTTTGCGTATATTTACGTCTGCTTCGTAATTTTGAAATGCAAAATACTCATGCATCCGCATGTAACAAACTAGTGCTTTCGCATCGAAATCAACTCTAAAATTATAAATTCTAGCAAGTACAGCATAGTCCATGTCGTTTTGCGAGATTATCGAGTCGCAAGCGAGTTTGTATGTCTATGTATTTCGTTTATAACTGTAACTTCGGGGAAACGCGTTGTGTGAACACGATTTAGCAATAAACCGTTTGAATGATACTCACATATGGGGACAAGGCAACGTTTTCCGCATTACAGCTTAAAATTCGACTATAATATAGTGCTTATGTTGTGTACAAAGTTCAAGGCTTATTGCGACGCGCGAGAGTTCACGAAAAACGACGGAGATTTCGTCGATGGCGCGTGACTCGGATGCAATACGAAGGATCGTTTCACGGAAAGCTCGCAATTTTTCTTTCCGCTTTTCAGTTTCGTCAGTCTGTCTTTTATACCCGGCGGTTTTGATAACTCTCTTCCGTCCTTTTAATGCGTTATGATTGAAGTGACACCCCGAGACCGGCTCACACCATGTCCGCCGATGGCTACCTATCAGGATATTTGTTTTCGCACGGCCGATTCCCGGGGGGGATGCGGACGAACAACACACTCGTGCCAAATGATAAATATATTTAGATCTCGACTATGAACGCGAAGACAAAGAGCGATAACACAGATAATATCGATGAAACGGAGTAGCATAATAGCTTCAAATTTAGTTTTTATTCGCTTTTTGATTTTCGAGCAGAGATCTTTTTTTAATCGGTTTTAATCGCTTTTTAGAACGTTACATGCATCTCTAAATCAATATTTTATTAAAAATGAAATGTATAACTTTTTTTTAAATAACTTTATTTACTTTGATATTCGGATGAATGAGATGTACTTATTTTGATATTCAATATGCTGTGCGTGTGTATCGAAAATATAAATAACATCAGTATGTATACCTACTTCCGCGCAACGATAATGCTGATATTTAATTAAAAATATCAATACGAGTGAACTGATGAAAATTATCAATTGAATGCACGATATTTCATGGAGTCATCGGCTTTGTTTTCGGATCATAGATTTCGCGTGGTTTTGATATGTAACACCGGATGGCAAATATCGCATTTATTTATCCGAGGAGTAGGAGGGGAAACAAACGAATTCTCACTTTGATAGAACACATCGATCGGTATCCACCGGAGCAATCGCGCAGTTTTCGTTATTTTCAGACTTTCCGATTGAGACCGACGTGACATATTCGTTCGAATGCAAATCGTATACCTGCGATCGTAGTTATTGGCAGGCAGGTAGCAGCAGACATATTTGAGAGAATCGCACGGCAAGAATGAGAGCTATATACGCTATTGTAACTAGGACAGCCAATAAAAGTCCAATGGAAGCGATAACGAGTACTCGTGAATGATTCCACATGGATATGTCTATTACTTTTATCCTAGTTTTCTGATTGCTAGTTTATATTCGGTATTATTCATTATTTTCACCTCACGCATGTCGCGAGTGTCTACGTCGGCGGTTTTTTTTTTTTTTGTAATCGTACACCAGTTACATAACACAGATCGCTATACTTTTTAAACAGTCATGGCCGGCTGTGAACGACGCGACGTGGTGTAAAGTTGTTACTTGTCACTGTGTTTGAATGGGACTGAATAAAAAAAAAAGTAAAAAAATTCGTACAATTAAGGTACGTGGTGAAAACGCTGGCTGACACTTTTATTTTGATCCCATTCAAGCTTGAAAAATTCTCGAGTAACGTATAAGAGTAGAGCCGCGTATCGCTCGACGTGTCATCGATTATCTATAGGTTTGTGTGTGTGCTCGGAAATTATTACTTCGATCGGATAATTCGAATGAGCCGAGATTCGAGTCGCGATTTAATTACCGTGAGAAGTTCCAGAGTTTTAAAGACGTGCAATTTCTAAGGTAATGAAAGAGTCGTAAAGAAATCTTCGAAGCTTCGCCAACGGATTTTGTCGGAGATATTGAAGTTTAAGCGAGCTGAATAAATCAAGATCAATTTTAAGTTTTTGTATTTATTTGTTTGGTTATATGGATTGCTAGATCGTACTACGAATATCGTTAAAAATATAATACTATAAAAATATACGTGCATCAAGAGGCGAATAGAAAAGAGGGAATGAGTTATATACAAACGAATATATGTAGAAAAAGTGTACAACATTATAAATGGTTATGATTTTATATGAAATTTATTTAATTAACTTTAATAAAAACAGTAACTTTAATAAAAATACATATTTGACAATTTAAAACAAATTTGTAAACGAGTCGGTTTTTATCGGAATTGTACACGAAGTTTCAGTTTATGTATAACAAACATGTATATTTATACTTGCCTCGTAATATATTTACATGCGTTGTAAATTACAAAAGTTATAATGCAAGAAATATCATATTACTTGAACATTTGATTTATTAGTTTAATTGAAGTAGCTAATTTATTAGAAATAATAAGTTAATGAACATGTAACGTCTATTAATGGCAAATATTTTTATGAAATTCATGCGTTACGATGCTTATAATGAAAAGCGTGACGTACTTGTACATTGTAGGTAGATCTCTCGACTAAATAATTAATTACGTGTTCAAGTGCTCTTTCGTATATCCGGCCGGGAAACTCCAGGAATATCCTATTTCGAATAAAGCCGTCGTTCCCGCCGTAGCAATTTCGTCTCAATTCGTTCGAGGTTGCCGCGGAGAGTTACTGTGGCTTTTCCTTGGTCGGCAGATCTCCCGGCTGCGTATAGAACGCAAAATAGTTCGCTCCCTCGTTTCCGCTTGGAATACTTTTCGCATAGTTCCGGCGAATTACGTGGGTATGTGCTATACTTGGCAGTGCGATTTAAATAGTTCGAAGGGATTTGCCGCGGAAAAATCCGATAAGAGCTTCCTTAGCGTTCCGTTTGACGATTTCGAGCCCTGCAATTCCCTCTACCATCCATTCCTCTCTTCCTCTTTTCAACTCGCCGTGCTGGCAAAAGTAAACGGGGTACTTTGTCCGTAATATTTAATGATCTCCTCTTTCCGCACTCACTTTGCGTTCGACCTCAGGGAAGAGCAGCGGGAATCTTGAATACTAATTTATTTAAAGTACGGTCATTAATTGAATCATTTAATGGCGTATTACAACAGCACATGGAAAAACTGATTTTCGTTATACGTGGAAGTATGGGCTCTGTAGCAAATAATTTAAAGGACGATGAACTCGCACATGACAGAGAGAACTT